ACAGGAGCCCCCAGAGGAAACCCACCCAGACACACGCATAGAATCACTTTTGTTCCCACCATTTTGTTTTTTAATTCTTGCTGATTTTATTGATTTTATTTATTCATAAACATTTATTCTCTGATTTGTTGTTGGCCAATGATCAACTTTGTAAAGTCCTTCAAGACGACTGCTGTTGTGATTCGGGGCTATGCAATCCAGTCTAACAATCCAGACTGATTGACCTCAGTGATCAGTTACTGTATGTGGATTATCTGACCTAGAGCAGTAACAAATGAATAGATGAATTGCAACTAATTGATAGTTGAAATAGGCAAAGCAAGTTCACACAAAGGGAAACTCAAAGTGCTTAAGACAGAAACAGTTGCACAAGGCATTAAAATCAATCATAAATAATCACAGTGTATTAACAAGAGTGAAGAGAAAACCCCTCAGTTGTCTGCACAGCTCAACAAAACTGTTTTTAACCTGGATTTGAACATTCCCAGAGAAGAAACCTGTCTCACATTTTCAGGAAGACTCCCCAAGTTTAGTCCTGACTCTGGGCAGCAGCAGCAGGCCTGTCCTTGTGCTCCTCAGAGTCTGAGTTGGTTCATATGGTCACAGGCATACTTTGCTTTACCAATCACATTTAGTGTTCGATAAAGCGAGTTTTGAACCTTCTCTAGACTCAAACACGCTGAAAAGACGTTTCCTCGCTCTACAATGACAGAGCAGCAAATATTTTTAATGGAACAACCCAATGTGTAAAAAGTCACCTCTATAAAAACGTTAAGATTGAGATTGAGAGATGTTTTATTGGTCCTACAGTGGGGAAATTCCAGTGTTGCATCGCCAGTTACAGAGCAGTAGGAATGAGGCACACACAGAGCAAGATAAATTAACAATAAAACCCTAACCCTAAAAAACACAAATCTCTAACTCCAGGGGCATAATTTGAGCTTTGTTTTGGTGAAATGTGTACAAAATTCCATATTCTCTGACCTTTCGGGATCAAACAACTCAACAATTTATCAAAAATACTCACAATCTCACCCAATATTTTAAAAAAAATCTACCATTTTCTACAGCTAACATCACACATCCCACTCTTCTCTCAAGAATTATCGAACTCTCGTGTTTGCATTGTCCACCCTCCGTGCGTCAGACTGTGGAATGTGTCGTTTGAAACGGCTCGGCTCAGACCCCACAAAGACACACCGACGCTGGCCCCTCAAAGACGTGCCACTGACATCCCAGCATGCACCTCTCCTCTCCTGCCCCAGCCCCTGCACATGAAGAGACCAGTGACCCAGCCGCCCGGACGAGCTGGAGGCCCCTCAAGGACCTGCGTTGGCCCCTACATTTCAGAGGCACAAAGCTCGGCACCCCTTACCCCCCCCCCCCCCCCCCCCCCCCCTCCTCCTCTCTTTGGGAAGCCTAAATGATGAACTATTCACTTGGCCTTCATTTGCACATAAAACGCCACAACTCAAATTCCTGCTCTCTCTGTTTTTTCTCTCTTAGTTCACATGGAAATCCAACAACAAATCTGCTAGAGTTAGATAGAGAGATGGAGGGTTAGATAGATAGATAGATAGAGATACAGTAGATGTGCAGATAATACTTTAATAGATAGATAGTAAATAGATAAAGTAGATAGATAGATAGAGTTGTATAGATAGATCGAAAATATTGTAGATAGATAGAGATGGATAGTAAATAGAATGGATGGAGATGGATAAATATATAGATACTACTCAAACAATAGATAGATAGATAGAAAATAGATAGATAGAGATGGATAGATAGGTAGATTGAGATGATAGATAGATAGATAGATAGATTGAGATGGATAGATAGGTAGATTGAGATGATAGATTGATAGATAGATAGATTTTTATCTTGTGAGCATGTGACTCAAAACAGCCCAACGAGACTCTATATTAAAGTTGGGGTACTTAACTTTTTTCATAACTAATCCATATACGTTAAAGTAAAATATGAACAAATCAGACCTCATGTGTCTTCATCTTATTAGAGAACATGTTACGTTTTGCTGCCATCGCGACCCGGCAACGGATGAAGCGGAAGAAAATGGATGGGTGGATGATATCTTTGGCATACCCTGGAGTAACTTTTTGACAGTTTGGGCTGGGAGCTGATTGGCCCAAAATACAGTGACAAAACTAAACCATAGTTAGATGGATTTTAGCTAAACTTGTTGCGGTTCTAAAAGTTAGGTACCTCAGCTTTAATAGTTCCAATGTGAGCTACAGTATGTATGGTGCTGGCAGATTTGTGTCGGATACTTTGGTTACGGTACACTCTCAGGAGGGAAAAACAGAATCGATTTAGCACGTTATGCAAGTCCAGGTTTTAATAACATTCTTTGCTGTTAATATGGTTACCACAACAAAGCGTCGACATAGCAGCAGATGACGGTACAGTAGTAGTATCTGACCGATGCTCCCATAACCATACAGTATTACAAACTGAAGAATAAAACACAACATTCAATAGAAGAAAAGAGAAGTAGGTGTATGTCAGTGGCAGCAAAGATTAGATTGTAGATGAGATTGTAGATTAGATTGTAGATTAGAATGTAGATTAGATTGTAGATTAGATTGTAGATGAGATTGTAGATGAGATTGTAGATGAGATTGTAGATTAGAATGTAGATGAGATTGTAGATTAGATTGTAGATGAGATTGTAGATTAGAATGTAGATGAGATTGTAGATTAGATTGTAGATGAGATTGTAGATGAAGATTTAGATTAGATTGTAGATGAGATTGTAGATTAGATTGTAGATTAAGTTTTAGATTAGATTGTAGATTAGAATGTGGATTAGATTGTAGATGAGATTGTAGATTATATTGTAGATGAGATTGTAAATGAAATTGTGGATGAGATTGTAGATTAGATTGTAGATGAGATTGTGGATGAGATTGTAGATTAGATTGTAGATGAGATTGTAGATGATATTGTAGATTAGACTGTAGATTAGATTGTAGATGAGATTGTAGATGAGATTGTAGATGAGATTGTAGATTAGATTGTAAATGATATTGTGGATGAGATTGTAAATGATATTGTGGATGAGATTGTAGATTAGATTGTAGATGAGATTGTAGATTAGAATGTAGATGAGATTGTAGATTAGAATGTAGATGAGATTGTAGATGAGATTGTAGATGAGATTGTAAATTAAATTGTAGATGAGATTGTAGATTAGATTGTAGATAAGATTATAGATTAGATTGTAGATGAGATTGTAGATTAGATTATAGATTAGATTGTAGAGGAGATTGTAGATGAGATTGTAGATGAGGTTGTAGATGAGATTGTAGATTAGAATTTAGATGAGATTGTAGATTAGATTATAGATGAGATTGTAGATTAGATTATAGATGAGATTGTAGATTTGATTATAGATGCGCTTGTAGATTAGATTGTAGATGAGATTGTAGATTAGATTGTAGATTAGATTGTAGATGAGATTGTAGATTAGATTGTAGATGAGATTGTAGATTAGATTATAGATTATATTGTAGAGGAGATTGTAGATGAGATTGTAGATGAGATTGTAGATTAGATTGTAGGTGAAATTCAAATTCGATTTGAACGCAGGAAAATAGAGACTGAAAAACGCATGAACTACACTTAAAACAAGCCCAGTCAAAGATTGGGGAAGTAACCGAAGCAGTTTATAACAAGAAAGTAAAAGTACAACTTGTATAAACTTCTTGTGAGTGAGAACCATGTCTGGATAATGCAAATTAAATCTCTTTCTCCCGCTAAGCTATGTTTTGGTAAAATGTGTAAAAAATACCATATTCTCTGACCTTTCAGAATCAAACAACAAATCTATTATCAAAATTCTTGTTTTACAGCCATAACCTGAACCAAAGTCAATAAATATACTATAGAGCTACTTTGAAGAGCTACTTTTAAACAACAGAAGAGGCAAAGAGAGAGCTACTCCTTTTCTGCAGTTGTAATAAAAATCATCTATGTTATAATTACGACAAAACAGTGAGAACACATGTAAAATATCCCGTAATACTGCTAATACTATTCATTCAAGATCATGTTTTAAATTCTAAATCCTTTGGGGAGCTACCTGACAGGGGCTGGCGAGCTACAGGTTGGAGACCCCTGCTTTAAACAATGGATCTCCAACCTATAGCTCAGCACCCTCTTCAAAGTAGCTCCAAAGAATCATTTTATGTGTAAATGTAAAAGAATGCCTACTTTTTACACTGATAAATTATTAAAGATTGTACAGCAAAAAATTATGCATACATTTTGACGGTCTCAAAACAAGATTTGCCAAAAGAACTAGAAAAACGTTTGCTATATCCATGCTTGTAATAAAGTTGGTTGTTCCACTGTTTGAAGAAGTGTTTTCAAATCAAGATCAAACCTTCCTAATCCTCTGTACCCCCTCTGCACCCCCATTATGTCATCTGTCTAATTGAGAATTAGAAGCTCTCTGCCACTTTTGTCCCGAAAAAGAAGCTTGGAGACCCCTGCTATACAGACTCAAACAAACTCTGAAAACTATCTCTAAATCAAGAGATTGAGAAAGTGTCATGTCTATTACAAGTAAGTAAGAGCACAAGCAAGAATTAGGATTATATTAAGACTTGACTGTAATTACAACATGAATGGGATAAACATGGAAAACAATAGACCCCAAAACTATATCTTTACAGAAGCAGCAGGAGAATCTATAAAGAGAGAACACAAGGATAACATTTGGATTCACAGTGGAAAGAGTTTCGCCCATAACTTCTCCAGCTATTGTCAAGTACCGGAGTCTAAACACGTCATTCCAGATACAGCACAACTCACATTTTAGGGGAAAAACTCGTTAAAAAAAACACACATTCTGGCGGTAGGCTGAAGTCCTGTCATTGCAGAAACTTTTCAAACACTTGTGGAGTGTGAAAAGGCAGAGTGGTTGGTCCGATCTCCCACATGGCGCACATGACAGGGAGGATAAAGAGACTTACTGGGAGAATAGTTGCAGATCTGGCGTTGGTGATGAGGCGTTCCCCGCGGTCACCCGTCAGCCCCAGCGCGTCTTCTCTCATTCACTGCAGTTCTGTGTGTTTCAGCGGATCTGTTCTGTGGTTCTCTCTCAGGTCCGTCCCACCATCAGAGACATTTGACTCCTGCGCGTTGGGGTCCCGCCTCCTCTCCGCGCGCGCTGGATTTATTGTTTTTCATAGCACTCCCAGAACAGTCATAATGACGGTTTTTGTGATTGCTCAGTGTGTGTACATTTTTGGTATTCATAACTTTGTGGCTTTTCTGTATCTGTTTGTTTTATATGCTTATGTCATTGTTCTTATACACTTATGTTCAACTTCTGACTCTTAACCAAAAAATTCCCTTTTTAGCCATTTTTGTTGCTCGTTACAAACTTGACAGTGAAAGCCCCTTTAAGATGCTAGTTCTGGACTGGTTCTGAAATGATCTTGGACTGGTTCTGGAGTGGTTGCTGGACTGGTTCTGGACTTGGCCTGGTTCTGGATTTTAGCCGAGTCAGCTTGGTTTTCCACCAGAAAGGAACACGTGCTAGTTACCATGGCAACAAACTGTTTACTTGACAGCAGTTAGCATGGTCTTTGGTATTAGCTTTCCAAAAGTTAGTAAAAGTGAGTAAGGATTAAAATAAATAAAAAACGTATAAATTACTTTCTTTATTTACTCACCCTGATCTTTGAAAATGTTTGGAGGAATTTCTCAGAGTTCTATTAGTTTGAATGGAGTCAAAATGACGGCTCTGAGAGTTGTAATAACCCGAGTGGATCTTTTTTTTCCATTTTTTTATATATAACGTTTTATTTTTCATTTAAGGGGAGAAAAAAATCAATAAAATGTAGCAAAACAGGAGAATGACAGTAAACAAGGATAATGATAATAAATAATAAAGTTAAAAAAATACACATGCGGGGACTTATATATGGTCACTTACTTCATTTGAACGGAAGCGATACTTTTGTTTTAATAAAAAGGCAAAAACAGGTTCTAAACATGACGTAACTGTGTAAGGATTGGTCATGGGGTACCAGGTTTGAGACAGGGGCATTCACACAGAGGGGGCGGGGGGATGTGTTTGTACCATTAGTTCTTCTTCAAATGAGTATGGGCTGTTTTTGAATGAGGAAAAATGTGGTTACAAAGTTGAGTAATATGCCTCCTTTACGTGAAGCAGCCCCCTTTTGTGCAGAGAGAAAAAGTCTTGTTCCACTGGCAGAACTTTTTATGTGTCTAGTAAACTTTGCTGAAAATGAGGAATTCTGAGTCACCGTTGGAGAAGGGAACACGGCTCTTTTATTCTTTTTACGTTTCATTTATGTGTTTGTTTATATGATAGGGACCATGCTTATTAATGAACGTCAGTATAAAACAAACATAAATATTCCGGTTTATATCTACATAGCTATAGAATATTTATGAACATTGGTCATCTGCCCCTTATGGACAAATAGTATGTGTTTTTTTTATGCATTTCATGTTTGATTCTCTGATCTGTGTTGGTGAATCGACAGCGTTGTAGTCCTCTGAGATAACTACTGTTTTGGTTTAGGGCTATACAAGAATACATTAGATTGAATTGATTTAAAAGCTAGTTTTTGTGAATATAGGCAAATACATACTTTACAACATGCAAGGCTTGATGGTCAAATTCCTTTAAATGGTTGCTAATTGTTCTTGTTTATGATTTAGTTTTACTTATTTACTTTATTACAGGATTAAATGTGCACTGCAGACAACTTAGTGACTATAGGATCCACATGTTATTCTTATGTAAAGAATGATCGACTATCTGATATTAAAGATAAGGTGGATACAAGTGGTTGAGTGGTTGATCGGAATCTATAGATCTAGAGCTCGGTCACAGGAGGAGCTCAAAATAGACCCGCTGCTCTTGCACACTGAGAGAAGTCATCTGAGGTGGTGGATGTTGGTCATCTTTCTTGCATTTCTTGTGTTTGAACTGTTTGATTCCCTGATCTGTTTTGGCGCAGATTTAGGGCTATACAAGAATAAATTGAATTGATTTGAGACTCTGCATCTGTTCTGTGGCCTCGAAAACATTAGGACTCCCCCTGGATGAAGCGGAGGAAGTGTGGCTGCAACTCCCCTCAATCGCCAGCAGAGGGAGCCACAGACAAACACACAGCCCGACAGCAGCTGGTGGCACTAACGTTTTGCAACATCTCTCCCACACTTGATTCGATACAGATACAACTGAAACAAATTACACATATATTTCCTTACAGACCTCAAAATGCAATTGTTGTATCCACTCTCGCCGGCAGAGGGAGCCACAGACACACACACAACCCGGCAGCAGCTGGTGGCACTAAAGTTTTGCAACATCTCTCGTACTATTGATTCGATATAGATGCAACCGAGCCAAATGACACATATTTTTCCCTATAGACCCTAAAATTAAATTGTTGTGTCTTTTCTCTTGCCTGTTTATCCCATGTGCGCGTGTAGACACTATAGTAGGAGGAGGACTCGCCCAGAATAGAGGGGAGGGGGCGGTGTGAAGTGTGGGTGAGTGCTTTTGTGGGACTAGGAGGAAAACACGAGCAGACTTCTACTATTCTCTGCGTGAACATTTCTACTCGAGGACTTTTATTTACGTTCCGTGAAGCTGGATGGACCGAGGACTGCCCCGGGCGCACGGTAAGAGACGCGCCTATAGAGTATCACCGCGACTTCTGGAGTGAAAACGTGGACAGGACAGCAGATGGAGGACCTGAAGACAAAAAAGAAGCTTGGGCTATTTATCCATTGTGTATGAAATGTTTTGAGTTTAAAATATACGGGGATCCTAATGTGGAAAGACGATTTTTGGCTGTATATGTCTGGGAAGTCGCTTTATGGTCTGTATTTTATGTATTTTAACTATAAGTCTTGCGTCTATAGAGAAAGGAAAGTGAAATGTGTTGAATCATAAGTGATGCGAAGACTACTAAGATCATATATTTTGTTGGAAGAATACTAAATACCTGGATTAGTACACAGCCTATAGTGTAAATGCATAATAGGACACATATGGCTTAGTTTTTTACCGTTTTCAATATGTTTGTAATTATAGTATACACATGTACTTACAGTTGTAGTACTACTCTTTGGAATACATTACTTTTGAGAGATGAATTGCATGATGAAATACCCCCATGTTTTGATTTGATTTGGTTATAGATTAAGATTAAGAGATTGTATTTGTCCCACAGTGGGGAAATGTCAGTGTTGCATCACATGTTACAGAACAGTTGGAATGAGGAGCACATTATTATTGTAAAACCATCAAAAAAGTATCAAAGAAGTACAGATGATGGGTTATCAATTTGGTTTTTAATTGTCCCTGTACGCCTGAGAGCTTACACAAACATATCACAACGTGCTAGACTATTATTTGTTTTTAGATACTAATTTGAGCAAGTATCATACTAAAGAATAATGACATAAACAGAACAACGTCTAGTGACATTTATTGAGCCAGGAAAGTCCCACAGAGATTTCAGAACCTCATTTTGAAGTGAGTCCTGTAGTCCCAGAGAGAGGGGAAGTTATTGTACATGTTTTGACTGATAGGGGAAAGCACCCCGAGGAAACCTGCACAGACATGGGGAGAATATGCAAACTCTATTCAGAAAAACCCTGTCTGGAGGTGTAATCAAACCCAGGAAGTTATTACTGAGAAGCGAAAGGGCTAACCACTCTGCCAGTGTGTACGTCGCACACACATTTCGACATTTCTTGAGCATTTTTTTCTAATAAACGTAACTATATAAAAATGACTTCTATTAGACTGTATAACTAGATATTAGTTTGATGTCCATTACAGTGTTTTTATTTTTATTATTATACTATTGTTTAGTATGGAGTGTTTTCTTGTATCGAATTTGAGTTTGAGATTTAGTATCGAGTTTGTTTAGTAACTCTATTCTGGATTCCACCAATAGAGAGAGTGCCTGGACTTTTTTTTTGGGTTGAAAACATTTGTATTTAATAATCATTCAATAATTTTAATTTAAGTAATACTAAAACTTACATTGAAACTAGAGACTAATTTATGTAAGAATCAAAAATCACCCAGATACTACAGAAGGTCACATTTCATATTTGAGTCTGCTGTGTGTGTGAATGGTTGGTGGTGGGAGGGGCTGATGGCACATACTGGTTGCCTCGCCTCTGTCAGTGTGCACCAGGGCAGCTGTGGCTATAGTTGTTGTTTGTCACCACCGTGTTTGGAGTGAAAGAATAATGACATGTGAAGCGCCTTTAAGAGTCCAAAAAGCGCTGTATGAAACCAATGCATTATTCTATCCATGCACAAAGTGAAAGTATGTTTTTACAGTAGGTGAAGCGTATGGATCTTAAATATGAAACAGATGATTTGTTGTTTCTGAATCCTACGGGAGATTGTTGCTGCTGAGCCCTGATGTTCGTGTGGGCGTGTTACAGCAGTGTCCGTCAGGTTCACGTCGACAGTTGACGATCACAAAAACTATCGTCTTTAACACTGGAGTCACGCATCACTTTTGGGAGAGTCTCCTTTTATAGAGTGTATAATTCAAACAGCATCATTCTGTTTAAGACTCGGCTTTAAAGCTGCTCTATGCAACTTCCCTTGAGGAGTCTCTGTCTTTTGCTTGGACTGTTCCACAATATGACATTGAAGTCGAGAGGAGCCAATGGAGGTGGCTCCGGCTTCTGATCCGGATTCCTCCTGGACATTGGGACATGTCCAGGAGGCATCCGGAAGACCCAGGACACGCAGGAGGGACTTGAACGCCTAAGTTAATGTGGATAGGGAAGTCTGGGCCTGTGACCCGACAACGGATGAAGCAGAAGAACACAGATGTTTTCTAAATTATGCCCGATTCACGAGCTTCTGAATTTGAGTGACTTTGAATGTCTCCACTTTCTTTTTTCTGTCCATTCATTCTTGTAACATTTGTAATTTCCTGAACTCTTCCAGGTCTTTGAATGAGTCCAATGACTGAAGGCAGTGAAGGCGGCTGGGCTCACGTATGAACGTATGAACGTCTGAACTGGTAAG